ATTAGACACGATGTTAGTATATAATATGACACTTCGTTCGTGGACAGACACTGTGAATCTTGTGACAGATGCTTCAGTCTACAATGTCGACTCTTCTAATACAGTCAATACTTCAAACTTTCCAGTTTTTCACTGGCTAATAATAGCAATTGTCATAATTATAACTCTTACCATCATAACAGTTTGTATTATAGTTGTTATGATTTTCTTAATTAGAAAATTAAAGGAACTTCAATTACTCAAGTTTATGACAGTATAGGTTTAATGAGTGAGAGTTTGTCAATGTTTAGTACTGGTAAGATATTGTAAAGTTAGAATGTTTCTACATATTGTTGACCATATTTTGGGGCTCTCTATTAATAACTATTATAAACCAATGGCATTTTTGTAGGCTGGATGGAACCTTTTGTATCAATCAAAGCTTATAATTTAAAGATACAAATAATAGAATATGTAAGTGTTAAAAGCATCCGAAATATTCATAAATAGATCAAAGTTCGACGAAACTACTGCTTGATTATTATTATTATTATTTTCTTTTAACTGTAATCTGAATTACGAGTATTTCAGGATCCTGTATTTATTTTAAGCGCATATTTTCATGTATATCATATGTTTTAATTGTTCGAATAAGCTCCTAAGATTATTTTTTTGGCTCGTATTTACTTTTTTGTAATATTATTTCGGTATTTGTGACAATCTTGCCTTCTAACTTAACTTTTTTTGGGGGAGTATTTATTAGTGACATTGACATAACGTTTTATCGTCACTATAAGTTTTGTTATATGATAAAACTGAATTTAATATATATTGTTATTGAAACAGTTAAAATAAAAAAATAGTTATTACTTTAGTTGAAAAAATATTGATTGAAATTAACTACTGTAATTATCAAATTTAAAGTTAACCAATTATAAATTAGAAACTATTGGAAAGCTCTTTACAGTCAACTCTCTTTATAATGAACTTCTATAATGAATTCTGAATATAATGAACTAAAAGTTATTGAATTTCATATTAGTTCGGTATACGAAGAATTATGGTCTCTTAAGGATTTTTTATAGTGAACTTTTTTTATAGTCAGAACCAACAGTTCGTTATAGAAAGAGTTGACTGTATAACAGTCGGTTGAGATGTCACGCAGATCACAGGGGTAAATTTTTTACTATAAAATTTGAGTGATCGACATCTATATGTGAAAATTCCTTTTCATAGTAAATTGCAACGGTGTCCTGCTTTTGTTCACTAGTTTCAGGGGTTTCATAAAAGGAAATTGCACTCACGAGATATAGTGCAACAGCTTAGAAGTTAAATACTATATTATAAATAGGGTTAAAGCAGGATAGAAAATAATACCAAAAAGAATCTTCCCCTCAAAGATGGCCTTTCATTTCATATTTTATAGTACTAGCAACATAACATTTTACTGATTTATAAAAGCTTTTGCATACTTTTGCATGTAGTATAAGTATTTTAATAACTTCACTTTTATTTTTTAACAAAAAAACAAATTACTTAAAATCTTATTTGCAATTTTGTAGTGCCTACTATAGATAACAAACTACCCATGCTTGGTCGAAAGATTTTAAAGCTGAAATGAACCTATTATTATTAAGGTTGCTTGTACTATGCAAAATTATAAGTAATCCATTAGAAAATAGTTATAAGCCAAAGAATAGTTAATATATAGCTTATATGTATATATTTATTAATCGAATTAATACTATATATAATAAAATTTTATATAATTATAATTATATTAAATATTATACTGCTATAACAAGTAAAAAATTTTTTATTTTAATACAAATATATGATTTAAAATTATATACTTCAATAACACCACAGATTGATCATAAAACGGATCTATTAAAAGAAGAATGGTGTTGTTACGGATATTATCAATATACTGTGTAGTTCTTAACTTTTCCCATATTGTACTTTAATAACACAAACAAAACCTTTTATATGAATTAAGTTACCACTTTTTTGACGAAATTTGGCAAATACAACATATCTTACAAAGGTCTTTGCATCATAATTTTCTTGTTTCACATAACGTAATTATCAAAGAGACATTCACCCAATGTTTATTCTTCATGCCTCTAAAATAAAGCAAATAGCAGTAAAAAAGAAAATAAAACACAAGAGGACACAACAAACAGATAACTAATACTTAGCTTCATGTTTAATATCAAATTCCACATGCTCAACATGTATTACCAAAATCTACCTGCTTGACTAATCTACGAAGACTAAAGTATTATGCAAGTACTCAACCAAGATCACATTTCTTTTTATTATATATACAAACACCAAATAACTTTAGCCTACTTATTTTCTGTGCTAAAAAAAAAACAATCTGAAAAACCTAATTAGAAGAATCGCAATCTATATAGTACAAAATAATTTTTTACATTTTTTATAAGATACTCTTCTTTCAAAAATGCATTTCAGAGAAAGTTCTTGCTCATGCACATTTAACAAGCTATTTTTCATGTCAAAATCTTGAAAACTCCAAAAGAATCTTGTGAAAGAAGACAAAATAATTGTCTATCTTTTAAAGGATTATGCATTATCTGGTGCCATTAGTTTTTCATATTCTTTATATTGTCTGATTCATTGAAGTCTAGAAACTTATTTGTTTTAAGAAATATTGTGTATTATAACTAAGACTTTGGAAAAAATTTTAAAATGTGATTTCATCAATTTGTATAATTTATGAAAATCATATGATAAAAAATTAGGTGTGATATCTCAATCGACTGATAATTATGATAAAGAACTTTATGACACAGTATTTGATTTTCAAAAAAAGTCTACACTTACATAGTATATAGTTATAAATATAACACAAGTCTAGAAGTTTTTGTAGTTAAATATTTTCAATTGTGTCATTTCAAATAGCATGGCATACAAACTGAATTTCTTTATTTCTAAAAAGTTTTATAGAGATCGATTTACAATTGAGTTTATGTCAATATTATAGATATATTTGCTTTCAGAGATTCAAAAGAATATAAATATTATAGATAATATTTAAAGAATAATTACAGAGCATGTGCTAATATTGTAACAGTTTTAATTAATTTATCTTCAGATGATATATTTAACATAAATACATATTTAATAATGATGAATCGTATATAAAATAATGTATTTTTATATTTTTACTTCAACTAATTCTAATAAATTACATACTTCTAAAACCAAACCTTATAACAAGTCTTACTTTATTCTTTTAATTTTAATAACATGGTAAATCTACATCAAGCAGAAATATTAACTTTGAAGCATTGAATATTGTTGATGAAGACTCATCTTTATAAAGTGAAATATAATATCAATTTTTCTTATATTTTATGCTTTAAACCAATTATAAATTCCTTCATTTAAACAAATATAGTAAACAGATTTAATAACTTGAGTATTCAAATATAGAATTTGAATAATTTGAAATATAAGTTTAAAAGCTTATTCTTCAATATTTAAAGCTAAAAGATATATTTTTATAAGTCTTTTTGCTAATGCACACTCAGTTGTAGTAATATAAATTGAAAATTGATTAGTTAGTTGAGTTGGCAACTAATCAATTGACTATTACAAACCTGATTTTAATCGATTGATCAACTAATTGATTAATATATTACCAACTAATTAATTAATTGATTAACTGATTAATCAATTATTTGATTAATTGATTGATCGTAGTGTTCCTATTGAACCTAGATTCAAAGTTCATGAACATGTTCAAAGTTTTGAATAAAGAAAAAAGCATATAATC